GTAAGCGGGACGTTTCGCAATCCCACAGCTGACTTGACCCGCCATTTTCATGGCGTCATGCAATTTCAACCAATGCTCATCTATACTTTTCGGTGGAATAGTGGCTAGCCTAGAAGCTAGCTCGGCTCGGTACTTACTAGCAACAGAAGTTGCAGCCAGCTTGCTAACATCAATCCTGTGGTGGCGGTCACTTCGTTGTCCACTGAAAAGTAAGGTAAGATTGGTGCAGACCAGAGCATGATCAGATTCCAGATAGGTACTCCAAAAGGAGCGGCAGTCTTGTACACAACCGCGCCAGCGGTAGCTGATCGCGATGTGATCAATCTGAGTCCAGGCTTGAGATGCAGAAGGAGGACGCCAGGTGGCACATCGGCGATGACTGTGCCGAAAGTTAGTGCTAGCCAGAAACAGGTTGTGGTCTGTGCATAGTTGCAGTAGACGTTCCCCGTTATCTGTCCTGCGACCAACGAGTCCTCATCGGCCACCTAAACGACTCTCTTCTGTGCCTAGACGCCCGACCTGAGCATTCAAGTCTCCAGCTAGTACTACAATATCTGTCGAACGCACTTTCTGGAGAAGAACAGATAACTGGTGGTAGAACTCATTCTTGATTGCATCCGGGCTGCAATCTGTCGGGGCATAGGCGGAGATGACGAAAAGACATCGTTTCTCACGCCGATTTCTTCTCACTTTGATGGTACTTTCTAATCTAACAGCACATAACCGACTGTTAATGGGGATCCAGTCGACTAGTGCTGCCTCAGCTCTAGCGCTTAGTGCGACACCAACGCCAGCAAGACCAGACGAAGATGCCACAGGGTCCCCGGATAAACGCACGTAAAACAAGCTTTTTGGAGCGACAGATGGAGAGCGAACTTGTAGTACTTCACCAGAGTCTTGAATACGGGTCTCGGATAGACAACACACATCAATATTAAGACTTTCCAAAGACATTGCCAGCCCTATCTGTTGTCCGACCTGCATAAGTGTGCGAACGTTAAAGGCAGCCAGTTTGAATGGTGCGCGTGGTTTCAGAAAGACTGCTTCAGTACTCTTATTCGATGGTAACATACAATTTTCAAACCAGGCAGTGACTCGAGAACGTTTAGATAAAGCTGAATTTTTACCATAGGCGAGCTGCTGTCTGAGTCGAAACGGATACAAAAAGTAGAAATAGGAGATAGTGAGTAAATGACGTAGTAAATAATAATAATAATAATAATAATAATAATAATAATAATAATAATAATAGTATCAGTCATTTCAATGTTAGTCAGAGAAGAACGAATATTTTCCGTAAGCGAATATTTCATCATGTTTTGGTGTGTGGGCTGAGATACTGCCCGGGTGCCCAAACCGAAGCAGGTGGTTTTCTTAGGGGGCCACACCCCGAGCCTTTGACCTGAACGTCTGATCCACAAGGCAGTGGAGCATCGTGAGGAGATGCAGTCCCATGGTAGCCGGTGACCAACGATTGGTTCATACGCCATTTGTTCCCGCAGGATACTGGAGCCCATGTGCACCATTGATTTGGGATCCAGCTAAAGCTCCGGAAATTCGCTTTTCGTCCTCTCATTTTCGTAAACAACACCCCCGCCACGAGAAGGCAGTGAGTAGGACTTCCCTGGCAGAGGCTATATACGCATGACCATGTGAGAGCATTTCGAGAGGGAGAGCGGACTATCCCCACTCTCGGCCGTACCAGGGCATTTGGGGGCACAGTGAGGTGTATGTATGACAAAACTCCAAAATCCATATTAAATCATTGCTTGATTTTATTTATTTATTTTAACACATAGATATTGGTACAAGGAGGTACCAAATACATATGCGCCACACATATCTCATTGGATGTGTGAGGGCTGTGATACTGCCCGGGTGCCCAAACCGAAGCAGGTAGTTTGCTTAGGGGCCACACCCCGAGCCTTCGACCTAAAAGTCTAGCCCACAAGGCAGTGGAGCATCGTGAGGAGATGCAGTTCCATCGAAGCCGGTGACCAACGATTGGTTCATACGCCATTTGTTCCCGCAGGATACTGGAGCCCATGTGCACCATTGATTTGGGATCCAGCTAAAGCTCCGGAAATTCGCTTTTCGTCCTCTCATTTTCGTAAACAACACCCCCGCCACGAGAAGGCAGTGAGTAGGACTTCCCTGGCAGAGGCTATATACGCGTGGCCGTGTGAGAGAATTTCGAGAGAGAGGGCGGACTCTACCCACTCTCGGCCGTACCAGGGCATTTTGGGGCAAATCATTGATATTGATGGACTGTTTATAAACCAAAAGCCCAAGTCTAATCTGTCACACGATCACAACCAACCGAATAGGATAAAACCGATCTACATAAAAACATTGTTTAACACTTCAAAACGATAGAGCTGCTGACCATGTAATCTATTAGTACGCCATGTGTATTTATTTCTTCTGTATGAACAGCTGAACTACTTAATAAACACTGGTAAGACGTTCTGTTTGGACAGCTATGATCGATAAACTAAGATGACAAAGGTTGGTCAAATAAAATACTCCTTAAATGACCCTGGCTGTATTCATGTACGATATTACTAACTATAATATTTGACAAGTGACATTTTAAACACTGATTAGATCAATACCTGTTTCGTACTTAACCTCGACCCAATCGTTTCATTTGCTAGGGGTAAAATGTTAATCACATACGCCGTTAACCAATTTGCACACCAACTTTGTACTTGCTTTCCATAATAAAAAACCAAAATATCTTGAAAATGTTTTTGTCCATACAAATAATATTTCGAAACTCCAGAGCTTTTTGCCCGCATACAAGCTATTTAAATAAAATATATTTATAGGCAACTACCGCAAAAACCTTATACTGTTTCAAGACTTATTCTAGTTGTATTGTTGGGCAAAAGTCTATAAAAGTTATTCTTAATTTATTAGTGGAACGGACAAAACAACAGGTTATGAGAACTTAAAATAATTTATTGGCAAACATAAAACAAACTGCAGAAGTGTTTAATTTATATTGATAAAAACTGATTGACAGGAAGATATACAGCAGCTCGGTGTAATAATCACAGAAAATTACGAAGATCCACATATCACATGGCCGACCATACGTACATACCTCCCCTAGATTCAGATATACCATAATTCTGCTTGGAAACAAAAATATTAAAAAAAACACTTTCTGACATACTGGAAACAGAAAATATGCTAAGATACACCATTCACTAGAGAAGTACACTGACACTACTTTTCTATTATCAAGACATCCATCTTAATCATAATACTTAGTACTAGAAGCATTTGTAGTATTGTTTATTTATTTTAACACATAGATATTGGTACAAGGAGGTACCAAATACATATGCGCCACACATAACTCATTGGATATGTGTGAGGGCTGTGATACTGCCCGGGTGCCCAAACCGAAGCAGGTGGTTTTCTTAGGGGGCCACACCCCGAGCCTTTGACCTGAACGTCTGATCCACAAGGCAGTGGAGCATCGTGAGGAGATGCAGTCCCATGGTAGCCGGTGACCAACGATTGGTTCATACGCCATTTGTTCCCGCAGGATACTGGAGCCCATGTGCACCATTGATTTGGGATCCAGCTAAAGCTCCGGAAATTCGCTTTTCGTCCTCTCATTTTCGTAAACAACACCCCCGCCACGAGAAGGCAGTGAGTAGGACTTCCCTGGCAGAGGCTATATACGCATGACCATGTGAGAGCATTTCGAGAGGGAGAGCGGACTATCCCCACTCTCGGCCGTACCAGGGCATTTGGGGGCACAGTGAGGTGTATGTATGACAAAACTCCAAAATCCATATTAAATCATTGCTTGATTTTATTTATTTATTTTAACACATAGATATTGGTACAAGGAGGTACCAAATACATATGCGCCACACATATCTCATTGGATGTGTGAGGGCTGTGATACTGCCCGGGTGCCCAAACCGAAGCAGGTAGTTTGCTTAGGGGCCACACCCCGAGCCTTCGACCTAAAAGTCTAGCCCACAAGGCAGTGGAGCATCGTGAGGAGATGCAGTTCCATCGAAGCCGGTGACCAACGATTGGTTCATACGCCATTTGTTCCCGCAGGATACTGGAGCCCATGTGCACCATTGATTTGGGATCCAGCTAAAGCTCCGGAAATTCGCTTTTCGTCCTCTCATTTTCGTAAACAACACCCCCGCCACGAGAAGGCAGTGAGTAGGACTTCCCTGGCAGAGGCTATATACGCGTGGCCGTGTGAGAGAATTTCGAGAGAGAGGGCGGACTCTACCCACTCTCGGCCGTACCAGGGCATTTTGGGGCAAATCATTGATATTGATGGACTGTTTATAAACCAAAAGCCCAAGTCTAATCTGTCACACGATCACAACCAACCGAATAGGATAAAACCGATCTACATAAAAACATTGTTTAACACTTCAAAACGATAGAGCTGCTGACCATGTAATCTATTAGTACGCCATGTGTATTTATTTCTTCTGTATGAACAGCTGAACTACTTAATAAACACTGGTAAGACGTTCTGTTTGGACAGCTATGATCGATAAACTAAGATGACAAAGGTTGGTCAAATAAAATACTCCTTAAATGACCCTGGCTGTATTCATGTACGATATTACTAACTATAATATTTGACAAGTGACATTTTAAACACTGATTAGATCAATACCTGTTTCGTACTTAACCTCGACCCAATCGTTTCATTTGCTAGGGGTAAAATGTTAATCACATACGCCGTTAACCAATTTGCACACCAACTTTGTACTTGCTTTCCATAATAAAAAACCAAAATATCTTGAAAATGTTTTTGTCCATACAAATAATATTTCGAAACTCCAGAGCTTTTTGCCCGCATACAAGCTATTTAAATAAAATATATTTATAGGCAACTACCGCAAAAACCTTATACTGTTTCAAGACTTATTCTAGTTGTATTGTTGGGCAAAAGTCTATAAAAGTTATTCTTAATTTATTAGTGGAACGGACAAAACAACAGGTTATGAGAACTTAAAATAATTTATTGGCAAACATAAAACAAACTGCAGAAGTGTTTAATTTATATTGATAAAAACTGATTGACAGGAAGATATACAGCAGCTCGGTGTAATAATCACAGAAAATTACGAAGATCCACATATCACATGGCCGACCATACGTACATACCTCCCCTAGATTCAGATATACCATAATTCTGCTTGGAAACAAAAATATTAAAAAAAACACTTTCTGACATACTGGAAACAGAAAATATGCTAAGATACACCATTCACTAGAGAAGTACACTGACACTACTTTTCTATTATCAAGACATCCATCTTAATCATAATACTTAGTACTAGAAGCATTTGTAGTATTGTTTATTTATTTTAACACATAGATATTGGTACAAGGAGGTACCAAATACATATGCGCCACACATAACTCATTGGATATGTGTGAGGGCTGTGATACTGCCCGGGTGCCCAAACCGAAGCAGGTAGTTTGCTTAGGGGCCACACCCCGAGCCTTTGACCTGAACGTCTGATCCACAAGGCAGTGGAGCATCGTGAGGAGATGCAGTCCCATGGTAGCCGGTGACCAACGATTGGTTCATACGCCATTTGTTCCCGCAGGATACTGGAGCCCATGTGCACCATTGATTTGGGATCCAGCTAAAGCTCCGGAAATTCGCTTTTCGTCCTCTCATTTACGTAAACAACACCCCCGCCACGAGAAGGCAGTGAGTAGGACTTCCCTGGCAGAGGCTATATACGCATGACCATGTGAGAGCATTTCGAGAGGGAGAGCGGACTATCCCCACTCTCGGCCGTACCAGGGCATTTGTAGTATTGTACAATAGCCTTCAAGGGCGTATTGAAGCCTTGGCTATATGGAAACTGAAATTCCCTTTATGTGTTCATAAACAATTTGTTCCTACTCTCAACCTACCCTGACAATAATAATTTATTATTCAGCGTGATTATCACATTGTTTCCGTGTACTTTGTTTTTTTTTGTCACGGCTTACCTTTGATCGGTCTAGTTGACCTTTTAGCTTTTATATAAAAATATGTGTGGTCAGACTATTCCGAATGTATTGCGCAAATACATCAAATGATTCTAATAACCTTCGTCTTTTCATTGCATCATCGAAAAAGACGAATGAGATAAACGGAAGTCAAGTAAAGACAACTTTGGCTCCCAAAGATATACCTGAGCTATCATGACAAGAGTTATTACATTTATCTCAAAGTGAAGGAGTTGAATGAAAACCCTGGCAAAGATGATGCAATGTTATATTAGCTCTTTTTTAATTAACTTGCCAATACAAACCATTATTTCTTAGTGCATAACATAAAGTGTGTTATAGCTAGAAGGTGAACACATGAAACGAGTTTCTTGATGTTGAATGACATCTTATGATGTAAAATATACATCTAGAACTTCGCGCGGTAGTTAATAAGTAAATACAACTTATTGACAGCGGAAATCGCAGAGGATACATTGGAGCTCTTCAGGGTGGACCTCAACATTACCACACTCACAACTACTGAAACATTGTAATAGTGCTGCTTGACCTTGCAAGTCGTGAACCCGTGAACGTAACGCTTGTAAATGGTAATCTTACTTTAGGATTCATTTACGACGACCAATGACAAGTTTTGATCTTCTGCGGTCCTTGGAGGGTATTAAATCATCCAAGTCTTCTTGTAATGACGATTCATCTGGTGTTTTGTCAACTTCCCTTAAAGCATAAGTTGGACATCTACAGACGAGTATGTAAAAACGGAAAATGAGTCTACTACTTATAGCTTTCCAACTTTCTTTTCTTTTCATTCAGAACAGCTGAAAACTTCGAAAGAAGGATAATTTCTTTATCATCTATCTGAGAAACCACTTCTTCATATTTCTGAAAACCATTAAGATATGATACTTTTTACCTTTACAGACACATCAGCCAAAGACTTTAGCTTCTCGTTTTCTCTCTCGAAAGTACTGCAGCATGAAATCAATTCTTTGAGACTATTTGTGATTAGACTCGTCAATTCGCAGAGTGATTCTAATGGATTGCATGAAGGTTGTAAGTAAAAAGATCCGAAGATGATCTAGAATATCATTCAGAGTGTATATTGATACTTTAATGCCTTTCTTAATTTCTTTGGACCATACGAAATTTAAATTCCCCCCTTCTTCTCTTAAATTGAAGCAGCTAGATGGGTCAGAAGAACTAAAAGACTCTGAGAGATTCTGTGTATATTGGTTACGCGTTTGCTTGACGAGATCACATAACTCATCAAGTTTCACAGTATCCACTATCCCTGGTCAAGACCAAAAAGAATTAACAAACCTACTGCATGCCACAGGCCGTTTTTAATGGCTGTGATACAAATAGAGTCTTCTTGATGAACAAAGATAACAGTATAGCCATTAATTTTTGCATCACCACAAAGCTTGATTTGCATCCCCAGCATTCATAAGTAACACTGACCTTCAACCCTAAATAATTGAGATAAAGAAATAAATAGTGAAATGTTCCTTCATCATTTACATTTCAGAAACGAAATTTCATATTAATCTGATACTTGAAACGATGAGAAATTATCAATAAATAATACTACTAGGTGAGCGAAAATCGAAAGACAACTTAAAATTACCCAAACAATGAAGACAACAGAAATTATTCAGAAATCTGCATTCTATTTACAACGTAATGTTATTTTACTTGGACTGGCCTCGGATGTGTCTGTAACAGCCCCCTTAAAAATAGACGTTTAACATTAATGATGGCTATTAGCTTAAACTTACTTACTTACTTATGCCTGTTACTCCCAATGGAGCATAGGCCGCCGACCAGCATTCTACAACCCACTCTGTCCTGGGCCTTCTTTTCAAGTTCCATCCAATTCTTGTTCATTTTTCTCATATCTATCTCCATTTCTCGGCGTAATGTATTCTTTGGTCTTCCTCTCTTCCTTCGACCTTGAGGGTTCCATATGAGGGCTTGTCTTGTGACGCAGTTCGGTGCTTTCCTCAATGTGTGTCCTATCCATTTCCAGCGCTTCTTCCTGATTTCTTCCTCCACTGGGATCTGATTTGTTCTCTCCCACAGTAGGTTGTTGCTAATAGTGTCCGGCCAACGGATCCGAAGTATATTGCGTAGACAACTGTTAATAAACACCTGTATCTTTTGGACGATGGATTTCGTAGTTCTCCAGGTTTCCACCCCATACAGTAGAACTGTCTTGACATTTGTATTGAAAATTCTGACTTTGGTGTTGGTTGCTAATTGTTTTGAGTCCCAGATATTCTTCAGTTGTAGATATGCTGCTCTTGCTTTGCCTATCCGCGCCTGCACATCTGCATCAGATCCACCGTGTTCATCGATGATACTGCCCAAATATGTAAAGGTTTTTACATCTTCCAAAGCTTCTCCGTCAATTGTGATTGGATTGGTACATGCTGTGTTGTATCGAAGAATCTTGCTTTTCCCTTTGTGTATATTGAGACCTATTGCTGCTGAGACTGCAGCTACACTGGTTGTCTTCTCCTGCATTTGTTGTTGTGTGTGCGATAGAAGAGCCAGATCATCTGCGAAGTCTAGATCATCCAACTGCATCCTAGCTATCCACTGTATCCCGTGCTTCCCTTCAGATGTTGATGTCTTCATGATCCAGTCGATCACCAGGAGAAAGAGAAAGGGTGAGAGTAAGCAACCTTGCCTGACACCGGTCTTTACTTCGAACGACTTTGTCAACTGTCCTCCATGAACGATTTTTCAGTTTAATCCATCATAGGAATTCCGTATGATATTGACTATCTTCTGAGGCACGCCGTAGTGTCGAAGAAGCTTCCATAGGGTTGTTCTGTCCACGCTATCAAATGCTTTTTTGTAGTCGATGAAGTTGATATAGAGTGATGAATTCCATTCAATTGATTGTTCCACAATGATCCGTAGAGTTGCGATTTGGTCTGTGCACGATCTATCCTTACGGAATCCTGCCTGTTGGTCTCGAAGTTGTGCGTCTACGGAGTCCTTCATCCTGTTTAACAATACCCTGTTGAAGACTTTTCCCGGTATTGAAAGAAGAGTGATTCCCCTGTAGTTGTCACAGTTGCTGAGATCACTTTTCTTTGGTATTTTGACTAGAAGTCCTTCTTTCCAGTCTTTTGGTACCTGTTCCGCATCCCAGATCTTTTTGAAGAGAGTTTGGAGTATCCTTGCAGTTGCCGCTACGTCTGCTTTCAGTGCCTCTGCTGGAATGCTGTCTAGTCCTGCTGCTTTGCCACTCTTGATTTGTCTGATAGCCATGCTGATTTCTTCAATTGTCGGTGCGCCAACATCAATCGGGAGGTCCGTGAGTGCTGCTTCGATGTTGGGTGGGTTCAGTGGGGCTGGTCGATTCAAGAGTTCTTTGAAGTGTTCTACCCACCTGTTTCGTTGTTCTTCAATGTTGGTGATTATCTTTCCTTCCTTGCTTTTCACTGGTCGTTCTGGTTTACGGTGATTTCCAGAGAGTTTCTTTGTTGTGTCATACAGTTGTCTCATGTTTCCTTCTCTGGCAGCCTTTTCCGCCGTCACTTCTAAATCTTCCACATATTTACGTTTGTCGGTTCTGATGCTCCTTTTCACTTGCTTGTTTACTTCTGTGTATTCAGCTTGTGCCTTGACTTTTTCTGCTCTTGTTCGACTGGTATTGATTGCTACTTTCTTGTTCCTCCCTTCTTGAATCTTATCCAGTGTATCGACCGTGATCCAATCCTTGTGATGGGGCTTCTTTTGGCCCAGAACCTCATGACATGTTGAAGTGATTGTCTCTTTTATCTCTTTCCAGTTGCTCTCCATAGTAGTTCCTTCTCCAGTGAGTAGATCATGAAAGGCTTGGAACTTATTGCTGAGGGTTATCTTGAATTTATTGAGTTTGTCATTATCCCGAAGAAGAGACGTATTAAATTTTTGTGATATTGTCCTCCCCGTTGTCCAGTGCCTCTTGAGTTTCAATTTCATCTTGGCGACCAGCAAGTGATGATCTGATGCTATATCAGCTCCTCTCTTTGTTCTCACGTCCTCCATCGTCCTCCTGAAATTTTTGTTGATGCAGATATGGTCGATTTGATTCTGTGTGCTGTGATCCGGTGAAGTCCATGTGGTTTTGTGTATGCGTTTATTTCGGAATATAGTCCCGCCTATGACCAGTTTATTGAAGGCACATAAATTTGCAAATCTCTCACCATTTTCGTTTCTTTCTCCCAGTCCGTGTCGTCCCATGATCTCTTCATATCCGGTGTTGTCAATTCCAACCTTGGCATTTAGGTCTCCATCAGAATAGTCAGGTCTTTTGTTGGGCACTTCTCGACGATTGACTGCAGCCTATCGTAGAATCGATCTTTGGCGTCTTCGTTGTAGTCATTGGTAGGCGCGTAGCATTGGATGACGTTCATTGTAATCCCCGTTTTCTTTGTTTTGAAGGAGGCTTTGATGATCCTTGGTCCATGAGATTCCCATCCTAGAAGTGCATTTTGTGCTTGTTTGGACAGCATCAATGCAACTCCTTGTGTATGTGGGGCATTTTCTTGTTCATGTCCGGAGTATAACAGCAGCTCCCCTGAAGCTAGTCGTTGTTGTCCAACTTGAGTCCAATGTGTTTCACTGATCCCAAGAACCTCTAAATTGTATCTCCTCATTTCTGCAGAAATTTGGAAAACTCTTCCAGTCTCCCACATTGTGCGAGCATTCCATGTACCTAAATAAATGGTTGCTCTGGTTGTCAGAAGGGGCATCGGCCTCGTGACTTCCGAAGAAACTCGGCTTTCATCATGAGGCCTCATAATTCTTCTAAACGAAGACCTCCTGACTCCCAGGGCAGAGTTTAAATGGTTGAATAATTTTTTCTGGTTAGCGTTTTTTTAGCGAGTTAGTTTTCTACGGGATGGGGTCGCTAACCCCATGCCCAACCCTCCTCCTTTATCCGGGCTTGGGACCGGCAGTAGCCCCCGGAAAGGGACTCCAGGCGGAGTTCTATTAGCTTTAAGGCACGCCTTAATCATGAAGAAGAAGAAATCAGGTACGGTAAACTAATTTGTCGTTTCATTCAAAACTACAGAGTACTTACGTAAAATACCAAAAGCATATATTAAATACGTTATTTGAAAATATCCCATCAGTTATCCTCAACACACTTCATCATTCTTCCGATCCTGTTGTTATCGTGACTGCCCTTTGTTTCTCATCCTGTTTTCTTCAATTTAATTTTCTGCTGGCAGACATTCCACGTCAGATCTCTGCTGCATACAAATCGCGTCTGTCAGAAAAAGAATCTTACACCCTATTATCTCAAAATAACAGTTCACCGATCCTCGTCAAGGTCAGAAACAACCAACGCGCATCAGTTGACTGCACGCCATGTACTGACCCTTTCGGTGGTGGTCGCGCTCTGTTTCTTGTACCTACTTTTACTAATACATTCTTGTAATAACGTCGTTTATGTCACACGGTCATTTAAGCAGCTACAGCACTTAAATGTGGCAAGAGGTCTTTCCACGTTAATACTGACCCCAAGGTGTGACTGTGAGTTAGCTGGCTTGCCACACAATTATCGTCTTCTTCTTTATGACCAGGACGATAATTTCGCCCAGTTTATGACCAATAGGTTCTTCTCACTCCAGGCACCACCAGGTTGTCACCTCATTTCAACCGCTATTTTAGTAGCAGTCCAAGTTTTCCACATTTTCCGAACAGCCTATGTACTCATGTCGATCGAAGCGAAAGAGCTTTTCTGGATGAAGACCTTTTAACACATAGTCCAGAATCGAAATGGATTAATTTATCACTTTTAGTCGGCGACTTTATGCTGAGAATCATCTTCATGATGTCGAGTTGCTAACCGTTTACCCAGTTTTTATGCACGTAAATTTGCCCGAGTATGATCATGGCCTTCAGGATTTCTATGGCGGCTTAGGAGTTGTGCATCAAATGACTCAGCCAGGTTTGGAATGACCTCCTATCCATTTAGGGCCACCATATAACCCTTTTTGCGGACTTTGTTATAAATAAGACAACCTAAAATTCCTTATGCAGATCATCGATTGATATCCTTTTTCGCCAGAGAATAGACGAAGTTCGTTATGCAGAAAAAACGAATTAATATCTTGAAGGGCTTTCAAATTTCAGAAATGGATAACCGATTCGGAAGAGGTAAAGGCCTTTATGCCTGATGTATATAAGGAAAAGTCTTTTATGGACATGTCAACAAGTTATAATACCACTTATGGAACTTATTGTGACATGTATATTCAATGAATTTTGTAACGACAAAATAAAGATGTCATCTTTTCTTCGTTTGTCACACTTTGTATGTAATCACATCTATATCCAATATCAATTGTTCCTCTGTATCAATGGTAAAGAAACGGATATAACTGTTCGGTTGTCTATACACATATTACCGCGATTGTTGAAAAATAAACGCTATCTACGCTGTCTGTTCGTCTG